TAACTGCAGCAAGCTCAGTACCTACATTTATACCTTACAAATATATAGGTTTATATAACTTTCGCTGGCAAGATGGATTTTCTCAAAACAGCAGTCCTCCCCTTCATGCCATGAAGGAGGCTGTGTAACTTATCCTTATCTCTCACGACCTTCGTTTGGAGTCTGTGAGGCTAAGAACAGACATATCTCAACATTTCTTACTCCACACTAATCAGATGTTGGTAAAGTGTCAAAATTCAGGGAAGCACTCTTCAGCTTCAGCTGCAGTTTTCTGCTTGGTCCTAGTGCTAACCCTAACCCTGCTGTCTGTGTTCTGTAGCGTAAAAGTTTTATTTGGACATTAAAAAGTGTAGGGGACCAAAATGGACTTTTGAAAAGTCCAAATTACCTCCATATACGTGTTATGGTTCTCCCCTTTTGGACTTTGAGTGCTCAGTTATCTAAGTCATTCTGTTTTGTTGATCTTTGGTTGAGTTTCCATTTTGTGTTATATTTAAGCAGTTTTTAGTTACTCTCTGTTGTCACTTTGTGCCCTTCTCGTCTTCCCTAGCTCCCTTCTGGTCTCTTCCATCCACAGCTGCTTCATATCAGCTGATTAGCCCAGTCTTTGTTCTGGATCCCATATATACTCTCCTGCAGCTCTTCAGTGCTGGTTCCTTGTTGTTACTTGGCTCTCCATGTGTGCTTTCTCCTGATGTCTGCTGTTTTTTTTGGGTTTGATTCATGTATTTTGTTTCTGTTGTCCTTTTTATTTTATTAAACCTGCAAGAACTCATTTCTGCTTCCCTCATCTCTGCATTTGGGTCCTCAACCAACCTCCAAACTACCTGCACAACTCCGGCTGCTAATGTCAGCATTTTGTTTTCTGTCTTTATGTTAAATTGAGATAAACAAAACAGTATTTATACCAAGATAACTACTTATGAGGCAGCTTTATGTTTGCTTTTAACATAAAACCGAGAAGCGTGTTGTTTGAGGCAGAGCTAGAGCTCAGATTGAGGTGGGACCATTAGCCCTGTGCCGTGTCCTGTAAGGGTTTAATAGATAGACGGAGCTGGCCTTGGTTCTGAAAGATTTTCTCTTTTTTAAGTGATGTTGTTTTAATGAAGAGTATTATCAATAACCAACATTCAGTTAAGTGTAAAATGAAATAAATTTGGGATTTTGCCTCAGTGGAATTGCATAATCCTCCGTGTGCATCGTAGTATAATAAACAGCAGAAGGGATTTACACGAGAGGTGTAGGATGAGAGAAGTGTTATCTGAAAAAATAACCCTTCTTCTGTGGGAAACCCCACTAGACACACACTCAGGTTCATATCTGTAAGCTTACATTCATTTTATTTGCTTCATTTATTGCTAACCCCAACATTTCCCTTAATGGTTATCAACATTTTCCATTAGCTAAAGTTGATTCGCTGCATACCAAGCCCTGTTGGTCCTCAGAAGGTCAGTAAATAAACCACGAAAAACGCCCATGAAGAAGTATACACATATACCCACAGACACTGAGTGGTGCTTTACTCCTCCAAGAGAAAATATCTCACGATTGTCTTCTGTGTTTTTAGTGAAAAGTAATTTAGCTTTATACAAATGCTCATGCATCTCTGTTAGTATCCTTTGGTAAAGCTGGAAGGTCAGGAGAGATTGATTAAAAACCAAAACTGCTTTGAAAAGAAATGGGATGAGTGGAATTAATTTCCCTTCAAGTCAAGGTGTCTCAGCAGACCTTGGGTTTACGTGACCATGTTCACAGAACAGTAGGAAAAAAGTAGCAGGCACAGACCCCAGTCTGTCAGGGAGATTAGTTTACCTTTCAGCATACTGCATGCCATGCATGCACTGGAATATCTTTACATCTCTGAGTGGATCCCAGATTTTACAGCAGCAGCTTCATATTTCAGCTAGCATTTTAATCAAAGCGTGCATAGCAGCGGCGTGGCTTCAAGTGGATGGAACCAAGTGCCGTGTCGTGCTGTGGGGTGGAGAGCTACTTAACAACCACAGGGATTTATGAAGAGGATGAGAACGGTTTACACCACTCTCTATCCTCACTTGGAAACTTTTAATCATGTTGTTGTTCTCTATCAGCCCTTTACAGGAAAAACTGGGGTATTGGAGTATATGGGGTAAATAGGCCCATTTTATAGTCTGGAGACCCTGATGGGATACTCCATTCTGAGTCACTGGTTCACATTAAAGACAGAAACTCAAGCCAGCTCAGCTTGATCAGCTGGGAATCTGGGTCATTATGTTTCTTAGAACCTCCACTCTTTTTTGCTTTCTACTCACACTTTCAAAATGACGGCTCCTTCACTGCAGCGCTGACTGATTATCACTGCCCATGGTGGAAAAAAGAAGCATCATTGCATGTGAGAAACCCCTAGAGGGGATAACTCCCCTCTTTGTCCACTTTCCCACCATTTCTCTGCAGTGAAGCTGCCATTAAAGCTAAAAGAATCAGGGCTTTAAGCTTTGGATTTTTTTTAATTTTTTATTATTTTCACTCAACTGTTTTGAGGCTTAACTTCATATAAGATGAACAACAAATGTCTTGATGAAAAAGTTAATGCTTTGGTTTTTTTGTGCTTGTTTTGTTTCTTTGCTCGTGTCGCTGACAGAGGAATCCCTGGTAAGAAGTGTGGAACCATCATCTTCACAGCCGAAGAGCTCAGCAACTGCCGGGTTAGTATTTAACCATAAACCTCATCTTTTTACTGATAAAATGAAAAAAACACATCAAACATTGTTTCAAAGAGTAAAGAATCTTAGTCATATTATTATTATTATTCAATTATTATTGTATTTCATGATATTTACATTCTAGATTCAATTTTTGAATTTGCCAAGTGAAACACATTGCCACAGACATTAACTCACTTCAATTTAGTCCATTTATATAGTGCTGTTGTGATATTTTACTATTAGATTATGAATACACAATTAACTATGACTAGAAATTGTAGTTAATTGATAAATCATCCAAATTGAAGGGTAAAACCAATTGAATGTTCTTAGTTGAGTAATAATAACTGTAATCCGCTTACTCACCTGGATTCTTAGCCTCTCACATTCCCAGTGGCTTCTGGACCAGCTGTTAAAATCCAGTTATTCCCACCAATTTACTGACTTAGGCTAGATTATCAGCACAGCTATTAATTGCCAACCAAAGAAATCTTGTCTTTATTTATTCAAAAGTGGCCAAAAGGAGGGCGAATCATGCCTGAGTGAAGGCTGGTTTCAACCCAGAAACCAGGTCATCTGCATGTTTGTCGTACTTTACGCAGATGTGCCCCGCCCCCTTCCACAGACATTCTGGTGCACCTCTCCCAACTGCAGACAGGAGGTCTCTGATTGGGCAAATCTACATCCTGTTTGAGACCTTACTGGCTTGTTTTGTTTTTATGACCATTATTTCGGGAAAATCAGTGATCAAGATGGACCAGCTAGAAGAGCGAGGTGCGCAAGAACGCTGGGACCTTTTTTCCACCTGGATCCCTGCTCTTTTTGGCCCTCACGTCCCTCAGTTGTTGCACAAACTTGCCCCTGTAATGTTGGCTTTAAAGGAATAGTGCACCCAAAACATGATTAGCCTTCATTTTCTACTCACCCCCATGCTGAACAACACTCTGGAGTACTTTTTTGATATCTC